GAGAGAGAGAGAGAGAGAGAGAGAGAGAGAGAGAGAGAGAGAGAGAGAGAGAGAGAGAGAGAGAGAGAGAGTTTAACATTTTTGCCGAGTTGGGCGCCCTAAAAAAATACAAAACCCCTACTTTTTTTTTGTGGGGGGGAACCTAATTTTCCCAGTGCGCTGCGCTTCGGTGCGCTGCGCGCGGTGCGCAATTCATGCGCAAATCCGCGCACCGAGGTGCGCCGCAACTATGGTTCCTTCCCTTCATTGGCTCTCTTCGCGCGCCAGAAGATCGTGCTCTTCCCTGTTCGCTGAAGCATGCGCTTAGCCTCCCGTAGGCAGGGAGAACGTCTGGTAAGAGGAAGGAACAAGCACTCGCCTGTACCAGTTCTCCTGGTGCGCTCCCAAAAATCTCCGAGCTCCCCCAGTAACGTAAGAAGATGCTAAATTAATCGTTTGATTGGTTGTCCCGTGCACGCAGGAATCGTGCCCCTTCGGTGCACAATAGCCCCGTTTGCTCGAACGTGTCCCTGTGTCCCCTTCCATGTATGTACCTGTTCGCTGGCACGTACGTCTGCCACAAGGGCGTTCCCAATGTCCCCGATTGGGGACTCCTGCGCCTAAGGACCAGCACAGTAAAGAATATTTAAATTTGTCCCCGCCTGGGGACTCCTGCGCCTGTGTCCCTCTCTCCGGCGCTTCCCCCCCCGGAGGATCCCCTAAGCACGGGCCCAGTCCAGCCTAAGTACGTTGCTGGGCCCAGCAGCAGCAACCTCCAGACCAGCGGTATCTCCAAGAATCGGGCGCGCTGTCGAGCAGATTGCAGCGCCCCGGTACCGGGCCTAGTCCAAACCAATCCCCTGAGCCTGCCCCACCACCGAACAGCCATAAGCGGGACCAAGAAATCGGTTGTCGAGAAATTGCCGTAGTTGGGTAATGGACATCCACTCCCAAGCCTGAATTTAGTGTCCTGGTCCAAAATGCCCAACGGTCCACCAAACGACCGCGGTGGCCCACAACCAATTTGGCATAGGCTCTCAACCCCTCACGAACAATCCGACATTGTGGCACTCGTGGCATCGCTCCTAAGTCATTTACGGGCTATTTCTCGGCTCTCACCAATAAAGCCGTTCCCGCGCCAATTCGAAAGTACCGCCCGATTTAATATATTTTTCCTACTCACGTGGTGTCACGCATCCCCGCCGTCGGCGCTCTTTATCAATGGTCGACCGCTTTCCATCGAGACGCCCCTCAAAAATCAACTCGCCTCATCCCGACAGAATGCCCGGCGCAAGTCTTAAAACACCGTCATCTGGTAGCTATAATCCAACGGCTGTCGCGAGTTCGGGCCACCCAAGTGGCACATCACCGTTCTGTATTCAAATTCCCTGTTTTTTTTAGTAAATTAATAAATCGCCTGGCAATCGTCAAATCCTCAAAAAAATCCCCCCACTGGTCGGTGTTTTGCCAGTCTAGTCCGAGCCTGGTTTTCTCATGTCGTCCACCCACCACTTGCCAATCGTCTTTCGTGGGCTCGGATTGCAAGGGAAAAACACTCGGAACAGGCCACCATGTGAAAACCGACCCTCAACTATAAACTTTTTAAAGGAAGTAAAGGGCGGCGTAAGGCTTGGTCCACCCGATACCGATGCAGCAGGGCAAGTCCACAAGGGACAACAGCTGGACTGGTCACTAAATAACAAACGTGGTCCAGCCCACAAAACATTGTAGCCAGTAACTCCACTGGTCCAAAGACTCCAAATAGGCACAACTGTGTGCTCGGACAGAACAAAGCCCGAAACGGCATATCCCAGACCAGAGAGAGAGAGAGAGAGAGAGAGAGAGAGAGAGAGAGAGAGAGAGAGAGAGAGAAGGACAAAGAGAGAGANAGAGAGAGAGAGAGAGAGAGAGAGAGAGAGAGAGAGAGAGAGAGAGAGAGAGAGAGAGAGAGAGAGAGAAGGACAAAAAAGAGAGAGATGTAATAAACCACACAATTGCAGACTGAGATCTCTGTGTTCTTACGAGTTTTGCAGCTGTTCCGTGTGTTTGCTGAGATTTCTTCTGTCTGAGTCTGTTTCTGGGATCACAGGTGCTGCGTGTTTGCCTGAGTACTGAGTGTGAGAAGGCAAAGGAAATGTGTGTTTGCATGTGAATGATGAGGTCTGACTTGGGTATGGGGTTGCATTGGTTTCCTGTGGCTGGGTGTGATGGCATGCATTTTGGTTTGGCCTCTCGAGACTGGTACTAGACCCTGTTGCGGTGATTGTGACCAGTGCAGCAGGTACTGGGCTGGGAATGGTGTACCGAAGTAGGCCAAGAGTAGACAATACCAGGCAGGTAGGTAGAAGAACACAAAATAGTGTGAGGAATTTCATGAGTCCCAATAGGCCTAGGTGAAGAATCAGGAAGGCACCGGCTATATAAAGTCTGGAAATGTGCCTAGGTCCAAGTCCTGTAGGTAGGGTAGCAGTCTGCAGCACTTTTCCCACCAAAGAGGCAAGAACTTGTAGGGCCAAGAGGCCGGGTATGCTGAGAGGCACAGTACCAGCTGCTGCACTGGGAGCTTGTCTGAAGCAGGCCGCTGGGGGCCGGCGCTGGACAAGTATATCAGTACGAGCCGTGCAGCTGCCACTCGTCTTGCTTCAGTGGGAGGTATACCAGCTACTGGACTGGTAGCTTTGGCTGAAGCAGTGTCAAGCAGAAGCTAGGAAGAGGAAGGAGGAGGAAAAACAAGGAGGAGAGTCATGAAGGAGACATACCTTGGTTATAAAGGACCTGCACTTTGATCATCATGGTTGGTGCAGCACCTGAAAGGCCACAAAGGGGATTAAAGTGTATTGGTACTTCATCTGTGTGTATGGTGGTAGTGGAAGAGGGAAGGACACGAGAGAGCCAGGAGAGCTCCTTTGGGCATGCTGGCAATAAGGGGATACTCCGGACATTGATTATAGCTTCTACATTCATTATCATTGTTTAATATTATTGATAAGATGGTGGTCACGGTGACGAAGGAGAGGAGACTTTGGTATCAGCTTGTATCTATGATCATCTTCTTCCTCCATTCCTCGTTCTTCGTCTTCCCTTGTCTTATTCTCTTCCCAATCTCTTACATTTGCATTGGACTCAGGTGCTATTGTCTCTTTGTGGATATTTTCATGAAAACTTGCTGGAAGCATAACACAGAAAATGCGAATAAATTCAGAGACGCAGGATACAACATCATGCCGTTTCAAATCTTGCTTCGCATTTGTGTCTCCTCCTTTCCCCTCCCCGCCTTCGAACACCTGTCTCCCTGTGTCTATTTACAACCATAACTACTCCTTTGCCTATTTGACATTACGCAGCATACAGAACACAACCAACAGATACGGCCTTGCTCCAATACGAGAAAACGGAGAAAGCCAAAGGGAAACCGGGACTGACAGAGGGAGAGGCAGAGAGAAAGAGAGAGACATACGAGCAAAAGACGGACAGGGAGCACAAGAGGCACAGAAAGAAACAGGACTAAATAATGACAAACATGATTCAACATTATGCACTTGCTTTACATGCACTTGTCCCCTGCTCCACCCTCCTCCACTTCCGCCCAATGCACCGTGGTCACGTCCACTTGTTAACTCTAATTTTCAGCATCAAAAAATTTGAAATTCTGAAAAAAACACACACAGGGATGTCACTTAGTTTACTCAGCATCAGGCGGGGGAATTCAAAATATCAAAATAAATTACATAATAAACAATGACCTGGACTCCGCATCGGGCGGGGGGAATACAAAATATAAAATTCATGCTTGCAACCGCACGAGCCGCACATTCATGCCGAGTTCCGTGCGGGGGGTGCCTGTGTGGAATCGCGCAGGTTTATTATTATTATTATTATTATTATTACTTATTTTTTTTGGGAGGGGGGATGGGGGGGGGCGTATGACAGGAAGCTGGGGATATGGGTAGAGGGGGACATGGAGAAGATGAGGAGGATGTGGCTGAGGAGGACGACGATGAGGAGGAGCAGAGATGGGGGAGGAGAAGAGATGGACGGAGGGAAACAGGAAGGGCGGGAGGAGGACGAGTGGGAGGAGGAGACATGGACGGAGAGGAAGGGGAGGACATGAGGAAGGTAAGGAGACGAGGAGGATGAGGAAGATGGCGAAGTAAGAGGAGGAGGAGGAGACAAGGAGGATGAGGAGGGCCAGGAGGAGGACGAACAGGAGGAGGAGACATGCAGGGCAGGACGACAACGAAAAGGAGGAAACGAAAAGGAGAAGGGAGGAGGATACATGGAGGAGGAGGAAAGGGAGGAGGAGCAAGGTGAGGCAGCACTCCTGCAAAAAAAAAATAAATCATCCCGCTTATAATTTGGGCGGGGGGTCTCGAACGCACCGTTTCGACCCCCGGCCTTCTTTTTTTCTTTTGGAGGGGGGTGATGGGTTGTTCCCCGCACATGTCGTGTGCTGCACTGGATCGGTTGGGCGCGTGCGCCGCAAGTCGGGAACTGCCCGCACGAGGTGCGCTTGCATGTATGATAAAATTACATTAAATAATGAAAAATGATCTGGACTATTTAAAAAAATCATAGTCGAACCGAATGCATATTTCGATCAAAATTGGTGTGACTCGGTAAGACTCGTAAGAGTGACGTTTTAGGCTGGGCTGCCTGGGGGATTGGTTTGTTCATTCAGGCTGGTATGAACTGGTGGTTTAAAGCTAAAAAGACTAAATAGCGAAAGCTTAAAAAGTTAGGAAGTATACTTTCAAAAAAAGAAAAAGTTGAAAAACAGATACTCACTGTGCCTCATCCAAGATGATGACAGCATCCTTAATATCCAGCTCCATTGCCTTCCGAATACCAGGCTCAAGAATGTAGTTGTACGGGCAGAACACAATGTCCGCATCTTCTGCTATGCCACGGGCAGCGAAGTACGGGCACCCTGTGAACAGATAAAAATATGTGGAGTTAGTAAACCACAGACTACACTCAATTCAACCCTTCTCATCAACAGGAATACAAGGAAAGGGCGTAGCACGGTAACAGGCTTGAATTTCAATTTTTCCATAATCCCGCCACGACTGAGCACAAGCATGAACAGTCATCAGACGACGATGGGGCATACAGTGGGTCGGGGGCAAACTATGCAAACCCAGAAGCTAGAGTTTAGGATCCAAGCAAAGATTACAGAGTAGTACATATTAAGATCGGCAACACCATTTATACAGACACTAGCCCAAAACCAGGATCTAGGACAAACAGCCAAACTCTCAGACAAGATCAGCCCTAGTGTTCCCAGCAATCTACGCAAACCCGACAGCTCAGTAACTGAGCGGGACAAGATAGAGACAGCTCTATAGCCAGACCACAAATGGAGCAGGATAGAACAGTATAAAGGAGGGACATCCCATGCCAAAACTACTTTAACCAGGCAAACGTAGGCGTGAGTGTACATCCTGCCCACGTGAAGTAATTGATACCGTCCTTCGATCCTCCCCATCACAAGCCCGTCAGGGACAGACTTCAGACAAGGAGACGTCTAGAGAGGGTTTAGGGTTTTAACACACTTACAGAATAAGAGCAGAATTTCAGCAGTACAGGCTAACTTTGGCAGGGGTGAAGAGTGGTACATCCTTCCTTCAGGAAGTAATCAATGCTGTCCTTCGGGCCTCCACACCATGAGGGAGAGGAGCGTGAGGGAACAGTGGTCATATAATGGAATCCCTTCTGACTTGCCGGTGGAATAGGAACCGGACTGACGCTCCCCAGAATGGAAAAGGAGTCTGAACCACAAGGTTCTTTTTTTTAAAAAACAACAACAACAACAACAACAACAACAACAACAACAACAACAACAACAGGGACTTGCTACAGTTCCGTCATTTATGGATAATAACAGAAAGATAATTATGTCGTGGAGAGACCAACAGGGAGAGAAGAGAGTCAGGCAGGACGGAGGCAAATTACAACTTAAAAGGGAAACCACGAAATAATGGCAGTGAAGGCCAAGGCCAGGGGTAGAGAGTTTACCCTGAGATACTAGTGACTAGCAGCAAAAAAAAAAAGAACTGATAACATGACGACATCTGTTTCCAAGACGACGTCCTGTAGGTCTGCAACCAAGCTCACCTGATAGTTATGGTGTACAGTTGAAAATGTGAGCCCCCTAGGCCGTCCAGAGGGCAGTGCAAGGCCAGTAGGCCCTGCGTCCAGGGTCCACAAAGTCCAAGCCTGGCAGGCCCCGGAGGCAGACCTGGTAACTGACAGGTTTCAGCCAAGTCCGGGGGGGTCCCATAGGCCGTAGCTACCAGCCAAAGCAGCACCCGATCGCCGTATCTAAGTTGAGGTCAGGCCAGTCAAGGGGGGCTCGGATGCAGGTCACCGCCAGGCCGCAGCCGCGCTAAGTCCAAGTGCATGTGCTGAGGGGAATGACTGTGCAGTCGACAAACAGGTACAGTGCCCTGAAACAAACGGACAGGCTGAGCAGATAAACAAACAGGTGCAGCACCTACTACGGCATTACATCACTTCTGACCAACAAGATCGGAATTAGTAAATGCCACAGGTAGCTAGCCTGTAAATAAAGGAGAACTTGGCTCTCACGCCAATGGACTCCACAGCACTCAGAATCTGAGACTGAGAGGCAGGGAGAAGAAAGTGAGAGCCGGAGACTGTGTGGACTCAACAGATGTAATGACGTTGAAAATCACAGACTGAAAGACCTGCTGTTTTGTGAGTTTTGCCACTGGAGTGCGTAACTTGCTGAGATTTTTAAGTACATGTGTCGTCATATTCAGTAGTATCCACTGTACACAGCCCCACAAAGAAAAGCGCGGTTGTGCCAGACTGTTTCGTCGGACTTTTACCGACTCATCAGGAGGTCTCAACAGTTTGCCCATGATGCATTCGACTGATGGATAAGGACTCACCACGTCGCCCACAGTTAGCGATGCCCCTGAGGAAAGTGGTAGACTTCAATCACACCAACGCACAATTGCTGAGTTTCCATGTGTTTGCCTGACCGCATGATTGCTTGGGTGTGTGTGTGACCCGCCACGGTACTTGTGTACCAAGAAGGCCCACGAGCCTGGTACTTACCTGTGGCCGTTGTGTTGTGAGGGGTGAAGCGGGGAATCAAGTAGGCTAGGCCCACATAGGTTGGCAAACACTCAAGTAGCGGGTAAGTAGGCAGAAGAAGACAAAAAGCTAGGACCTTTAGAGGCCGAAGTGAATTTTAGAAGTCCAGTAGGATTAGACTCTAGAGGTGCCGTTCCAGTAGTTTGAGTCTGAGGCCTGAGGGGAAACTCTAGGGGTGTCGTTCCAGTAGTCTGAGTCTGGGGGCTGAGGGGAATATCAGTCTGCAGTGATGTTCCCTCCACCCCGTGGAGGTACCGCTAGACTTGGCAGGCCACCGGCCTCAAAGCCAGTGCGCGAAGAGACAATACTCAAGTATATCTTCGCTGGAGGCAAGGCAAGGCCTCATTTGCTGTGCGCAATTTTGGCAACACACTGCTGGAGCAAGCGCTCAGCATAGCTGCACTCGGGAGGAAGAAGGTGGGCTTGGCCGTAGACCTTAGATATGGTGGAGTGGACAAAGGACGAGACTCGGCGCGAGGAGGAGGAGGAGGAAGATGGTGAGCAAGGAGGAGAGTGACGGGGAGCTTACCTGGCTATAGTGGTCTGCATCTTTGTCTTCTTGGTGGGCGCTGCACGAGGAAGACCCCAGTTGAGTTTGGCACCTACAATGAAGACTCCCTGGGTAGTGCTAGGCTTGGCGGCCATAGTAGGGGGGATACATTAGCTTTGCGTTGTCCTTTGAACATCGAAGGTTCACTCCGATGGTCTCCCATAGCCACCTGCTCGACCAAGGAGGGGGAAGGTGTATGAGATGGCTATGGTGGACAACTTGAGTGGCTGGCAGTAAGGGGAGGATTCAGACATTGGTTCTGGTTTATTCTTACATTGTTATTATTGTCATTATTATTACTATGTAACGAAGAGCTGGGGAAGTTATTGGAGGTCGAAGAAGGTGGCGAGGTGAAGGGGGATCCGAATTGGTATTTGCTGGTGTTCATCTTCATCTTCTCCTTCCATTCTGATTTCTTCCTCTTCCTTTATATCCCTGAACAAAGAAAAAAAAAAGAATTACACAATCTCCTAATTCTCCGTTTTGATTATTAAGAAAAAGAGAATCCCAAATAAAAATAACAATCAAAATCAATTCAAAATATAATATGTATTTCTTTCTATTTATTCATGATTGAAACGGTTTTCACCTTCGCGGTAGCAGATGCAGATCCCAGGGATCGATCCCTAGACCCCGCTCATCTGTGTACATGTGTTTGTTGCATACTCGTGAAACACAGTCAAAAAGTATGGCGCAGATTCCCAGAACCGACCAGATAATACAGAGTTAATACAAATACAGCGGAAGACTTGAGATACATGGACTGACTCTGACCTGACTCAGACTGCAATCGAACACTCTCAATCATACATCAGGGGTGTGAAAGCCCTGGCCTTGGACATAGACGAAAGGCCAGGGTCTGAGATCATCCACGGACGAATGGAGAGAGGAGAGAGACGAAGGGAGGAGGAGAGGGAAGATGACGTCAACTCAATGTTTCCAAAGATAGTATCTTGAAATGTCAGAGGTAGCGAAAATCCGAAATGTCGCGAACACAGTGTCTCACAATGTCTCAGATATCGATCTCACAATGTCAAGTACATCTCCAGAGGAAGACGAAATCAGGTCCCAAGAGTAGTCCTCAACCGATAGTCCCAATGTCGCTGTCTCCAATGTCATCAGAATTCGTAACCATCCTTCCTACTGGTAGTAGTCCCGTAGGAGAACCCAGAAGTAGACTTAGACTGAGAAGGTAGGAGGAGAGAAAGAGAGAGAGAGAGAAAGAGAGAGAGAGAAAGAACGGTGGAGGAAGATGAGGGAGAAAAGGCAAAGCCTTTCTCCTGGTACCTGTCACGGTAGCTATGGCGCTGCAAGGGGCTGGCGCTGGGCCGCGGGCTGGCGCTGGGCCGCGGGCTGGGCCGGTAGCTGGCGCTGCTCCCAATGCTGCGCTAATCCCTCTCGGCCGCTGAGCTCCTTCTCTCCTTGCTGCTCCTCGAGATGCTGCAGCGCTACGCTAATTCTACTAAAGCTGAAACGTTGCGCTCATCCTGGAGACTAACCTCCTGTCCACTCTAACCTACCGACTGAGGCTGGTACCCAGCTGATATAGTGCTGGGTCAGCCTCAGTCCTACTGAGGTCCTTCGGGTCTGGACCGTTGATCAGGCCCAACGGTTCAGATCCGATTTCGGAATCTGAAAATGGGCGCCAAACTTCGCCGCCGGCTGGGCCTACCGATGAGCCGGTACCTGGCCTAAACGAACTAGCCGTTGGGTCTGGTGGGGTCTAAACGAGGCCTACCGGACCCTAAACTGAACCGACGGGTCCTACCCGGACCTAAACTGGGCCCGTCAAGACCCGGTAACTAGGCCTGAACCATGCCTGCTACAGAACCGGGCCCTACCTGGGGCCCGTGTGGTATCAGTATGCCACACACTCCCCCCCTTGAAGACCGAGCTGACTGCGAGGGCGAAGCTGTCTGTCCGATGTCCGCACGGGGCAGGCAGGTTGGGCAGCTTCCTTAGCAAGTTGCTGTTTTTCGTAATGCGCGAAGGTGAGGGGTGCTGTCGCCTTGAGGTCAGCTCGTGAAATCCAGCGTGTGTCGTCAGGATCGCATTGCTTGAATGTAACTTTGTACTGCATTGGCTTGTTGCCATGCTTGCGATGAGTGAGAACGCGGTCGACCTCCTGGTGACCATCCATTGAAAAAGGGTCGTGTGACCGTCTGCCCGGGAAGTCCGCTGACGAGTCTGGAGTGTAGACCGCCAGCTTTGAAGCGTGAAATATCGGGTGGACCGTCGAATGCGGGGGAATCTCGATTATGAAAGATGGACCCGCGGGGTGGTCGCCAGCTGCTGAAGTGACCTTCCATGGCCCAAACCACTTAGGGAGGAGCTTGCGCGAGACGTGCTGCTCGAGCGCGAATTCCTCGGAGGTGACCCAAACCAGGTCGCCAGCGCGGATTGGACATGGGATGCGACGCCGGTTCGCTTGCTGCTGCATACAAACTTGAGCCTTTTGCATATTTGCGCGGGCTTTGGCCAGCAGTTCCCTGTACTTCCGTGCAGAAGCGGGGGAGCAAGCGGCGTCGATATCGGCAGCCCGTGGAAACAAAATGTCTGCAAAGATGCGGCCTTTCCGTCCACCGTGATGCAACTCAAAGGGAGTCACGCCGATCGCTGGGTGCACCTAAGTGTTATAGGCGAACTCGATGTTGGGAAGGCGGTCAACCCAGTCCTTCTGTTCCGGGCAGATGAGTGTGCGGAGCATCATCTGCGCAGTCTGGTGCGCACGTTCCGTTTGCCCATCCGTTTGAGGATGTCGTGCGGAACTCGGTTTCATGCTGGTGCCGGATTCCACCATGAGTGCCATCCAAAAGGTTGACATGAAACGAGTGACGCGGTCGCTGATGATGTCTTCCGGAACGCCGTGGCTGCAAAACCAACCGGTATGCAAAGGTCGTGCGAGCTCACGAGCCGTCGCATGATACTTCCATGGAAGTAATCGAGCGTACTTGCTCAAACGGTCAACGACCGTGAGAATGCCATCATGGCCAAGGCCATCGCAAGGGAAAGGACCGGTCACATCCATAGCAATGGAAAGACATGGTTCCCGAGGAATCGACAATGGTTTCAGTTCGCCGTACGGGAGCTGATGGCGCCCTCTGTTCCGGTGGCAAACTGCGCATGACTGAATGTACTGGTTGACGTCGCTGATGATGTCCGGCCAGTGAAATCGCTGGCGGAGTCGTGCTAGTGTGCGTGCGACGCCAAGGTGTCCTGCCAGCTGCGAATCGTGGTATTCGCCAAGGAGGCGAGTGCGCAAGATGTGGTCTTGGGGAACACACAACAAGTCCTTGCCTCGTGTATGGAGAAGCAAGTAGCCGTCGACAATGCGATAATTGCTTGTCGGCGGTTGATCCGATGACAAGTCCACATAGAGTGTGGAGAATCCCGGATCCGACTTGTAGCCGTTTACAAAATGCTGTTGCCGGGCCTCGTCGAGGCCGAATGTGGAGTGCACCAAGGCGCAAAGATCAGGTCTTCGCGAGAGAGCATCCGCTGCCTTGTTCGAGGAGCCCGTTATATGCTTGGAGGTGAAGCCGAACTGGTCAATGAAGTACATCCACCGACCGATCGTGCTGCTCATCGTGTCTTGCGTCTTGTAACAAGTCAACGGATTGTTGTCTGTTGCCCTCGTGAATCGTCGACGCCCAAGGAGAAAGTGACGCCAACGCTTAAGTACGGTGACAAAAGCTAGCAGTTCCTTCTTCCTCGCATCATCAAGTGTATTGATGGGCGGCACCTTTTGGCTGAAGTACTCAACCGGATGCCAGTCTGTGCCGTCATGCTGTTCCAAAACCGCGCCAATGTCGTAGCCGGAAGTGTCCATAGTCACTTTGGTAGGCAAGGTCGGGTCATAGATGCTTAAGACGGGAGCTTGGAGCAAGGCTGTCTTCAGCGTATGGCACGCGTGCCGGGCTTCGTCATTGAACTTGAAGGGCACCAAGAGGGACTGAAGTCGCGACAATGGTGCAGCGATGCGTTGAAAACCTTTGACGAAGCGCATGTAATATGATGCTAAGCCAATAAAGGAGTGGACGTCGGTAGTACACTTGAGGTCCGGCCAATCTTGAATGGCTTGTACTTCGTCCACGAGCGGACGAATGCCTTGCGGCGTAACGTAATGGCCTAAGTACTCCGTCTCTTGCTGGGCAAACTCGCACTTGTCGCGGTTCGCCTTGTACTTGGCGATACGGAGCCGCTCCAAAACGGCGCGAAGGTGCTCGAGGTGTTCGTCCAGCGACCGGCTATAAACCAAGATATCATAAAGGTAAATGAGTACGGTGCGGTCGAGCAGGTCGCGGAATTGCGTCGTCATATCTGCTTGGAAAGTAGCCGGGGCATTGGTGAGACCGAAAGGCATGACGATCCACTCAAAGTGCCCATACCGAAGTCCTCCGTCAGCCATCCTCCATAGCTGGGCAGCAATGTGAGGCCAGCCGTGGGGTTGGAGGCTTACCAGTTCGCCGGTGCGCTGCTCATCCTATCGATGGAAAACTCTCTCTCTCTCTCTCTCTCTCTCTCTCTCTCTCTCTCTCTCTCTCTCTCTCTCTCTCTCCCCCCCCCACACACACACACACACACACACACACACACACACAAAAAGAAAAAAGAAAAAAGAAAAAACAACAACAAAAAAAAAAAGCATGGCAGTGTATATTTCCATGTTCTAGGGGTAGATTCATCGATTTTGCTCATCGTACCGATGGTAGTAGCGTGAGGCCAGCCGCAAGGTTGGAGACTTAACTGTTCTCTCAGA